ATCATCCCATCGGTTAATTACCCATCTCAGATAGATGGCATTAAACTCATCATCTAAGGGACAAATAGATATGTCACAGCACTCAGTCTTTATGTTTTAAGCTGTATTTACTTATTTATTTGAAAGGCAGAGTTACAAAGAGGAGAGACAGAGATAGATCTTCTGACTGCTGGTTCACTCCTCAAGTGGCCACATCAGCCGGAGCGTGGCCAGGCCTGGTCTCCCACACCGGGGCACTCCAGGAAGCTGGTCAGAAATGGAGGTGCTGGGACTCTGCTCTGGGATGCTGGCGTTGCAAACCTCAGCTTAACCCACTGTGCCACAGCAGGGGCCCCAGAGACAGTAGGTTGTCATATAGATGGCTTAGAGCTAGGGAGTTTCCTAGTGTGCTCCGAGTTTCTTTAAATTCAGAAATGCATTTTATTAACTTCCCACTGACCTCTATGGAAGTGGATATTCAAATCTGCATGCTAAATACATGCACATGAATATTTATATTAAACATGTATACGTGTATGTTTGTATTAAATGCATACACTATTTATATGCACATTCATATTAAATGTATGCATGTACATGTTTATCTTAAACACATACACACCACATATATGCACATTTGTTTTGAATATGCATACTTGTATTAGATAATATATGCACACATTTATAATAAATGCATATATGTGCATACTTAAATGCGCACATGAATGCGTTTATATTAAACATGTACATGTGTTTATATTAGATTGTGCACGTACACATTTATATGAAAACGTACAGATGTACATTTATATTAAATGCATGCGTATGCACATTTACATCGAATAAGCACATATACAGATTTTTATTAAGTGTGTATATTTATATAAATGCATATTAAGTAAGCACACATACACATATGCACACGTGTATATTGAACTCGTGCACGTGTGCCTTTACATGCGTGCATGTGTGTCGAACATGTGCGTGTTAGGCTTGCACATGTGTGCTAATCCATGCGTGCACACATTCAAGGCATGCACGTTTATATTAAATACATGCTGTTTACATGAAGCATATGCATGTACACACTTCTATTGAGCATGGGCATCTGCCCATTTATGAGAAATCCACACACATGTCTCTCCTGACCCTCTCCGGGGTTCCTGTGGTGGGCAGCTTCACTGTGTTTCTGGGCGCAGGGCAAGGCTGTGCCACAAGTGGCCTGGGGTTGCTGTGCCTCCTCCCCGTGTTCTCCCCCTTGGCTGGCTGATCCTGAACAGCATGCCCCTGATCTTGAGCAGTGGGAGAGAAGACCACCCTCATGGCCTCGGACCCCGGCTGCCCAGCTCACTGAGGAACTGACCCCTCAGGGCCCATGGAGCCCAACTTCCTCTGGTCCCTGTCAGAGGGCCCCTCCCTGCCCCTCAGTGCTCCTTCTAGAACCTTCTGCCACCTGCCCGTGTGCTGCACACACCCTCCCAGGCTGCCCAGCCCTCTGTCCAGGCCTGTCTCCCCCTTGCTCTTAGCACATCAGGCACAACAGCCTTGCTTTCCTAGAAAACGTTCACCTGGGTCTCTGATTCTTTTAAAAGCTCAGCTTCTGATGCGTCATCACACCACTGGGGACGGTCACGTCTCTACTCAGGGACAAGGACAACAACCCCCATGTTGTGGGCCACATGTGCCAGGGCTGCAGCTGCCCGTGAGGACACCTCCCACCGGCACTGTCCACCCCAGGTCCCTGCCGATTTGCTCACTCCCTTGTCGGCCGTACCTGCTGGCTGCTTGGAGGAACATGGAGTTCACATTTTCCTGGGAGACACATCCCTTTGCTAAAAGTTTCTATACTAGTGAACTAAACATTGTGGTGTTGCTTCCTCACTTCCCACTGTGTGTTCTGAGCTGCGGGGGCGGATGGGGGGAGCAGGGAGGCCACAAAGAGAGGCCAGCAGAGACGCAGCCGCTGCCCTGCACCAAGGAAGGGGGAGGCTTGGGTAGGTGGGTGGCCATGGAGACCCCTGGAGAGGAGAGCCAGGTCACACAGACCAGACCTCTTCCTGGCCTCAGCGCCTCCACTACAGCTACCTGTCCTGGGGGGCTCAGCAGGCCCTTCTGATGTGTAGGGGGGTGCTCTGCAGCAGTGTCCTGAGCTGAGGGTGCTGGTGCAGTTCTGAGCTGGAAGAGGAGCAAGGAGAAGTGTGGGTGGGGCCCCCCATCTGCCACGTGAGGGTCTACAAGGCCCACATCCCCCCAGATATTGAAAGAACCACGTGATCGCCACCCCACAGAAAACCCTGGGAGGCTGTAGCCCTGAGTTCAGGGGAGCTGGCCCTGCATGGGAACCCCATCACCCACACAACCCAGGTCCATCCAAGCCACCTGCCAGCAGCCACTCCTAGGGAGACCCAAGACCCCTGGAGCAGAAAACCCCCAGGTTCTAAGAACCCCAAATGTACAGAGAGGGGGTAATCAGAGAGCCGTGTGACCTCCTTGCTGGAGGACCCCCAAAAGCATGGGCCCTGATCCCTGGCCCGGTGGATGGTCACTCCCAAGGACACAGGTGCCACACACCACCCCCAGCCACAGCCCCACCTCATACACAATAAGTCAAAGAAACGGTCAGAGTTAGCCCTTGTTGTTTATTTTTGAATAAACAAGGTTTTTTTTTTTTTTTTTTGCATGTCTGGATTGTAGTAAACGGGAAAGCTAAAAAGAGCGCCACTGACATTCCTTGAAAGTTTTGGTTACAAATCCTCCACAGTTCCACTTCCTCCTGGCTCAATTTGGGACCGAATTAGAGGTCATGTCTTAGCCGTCTTTGAGCTTCACCGTTTGTTGCCTAACTACACACAACTCGGCCGCACACAGGTGCGCCAGCAGCCACACATCCCTACCCTCTCAGCAGAACCGGTCCCCCACGGGCGTGGGAGCCGCTTCCGCGACATGAGACCGAGGCGAGCCTGCGGACTTGCTCCCCGCGGGGGTGGGGCAGCCGCATCTGCGCTGGCGTGGATGGATGGCGTGTCCCGGTGGGGGTGGGGAGGAGGGAGAGGCAAGCGTGCGAGGGACGTTCCTGCGGGGGATGCAGCCCTCCCCCAGCGTGGACCTTGCTCTGCTGGGCTGCCCAGGGACGCTTGCGTGTCCCGGCCCCAGCCCATCCCACAGCTGCCTGCACGCCTCTGGATGAAACGGACGGTGGGAAGATGATGGACCGATGCGGGGTGGAGTTGACCAAGGGCAAGGACGCTGGAGAACGTCCGGCGTCCTGACCCAGGTCTCGGGTGGGGAAACCAGGAACAAAATGGATTGCAGAGTCGGCGAGGTGTCTCACGCTGAGAGGGTCCGTGCGGGGGGACTAGCACCCCGCTGGACACGTGCCAACAGTTCTTTCGGATTTTTTTTTTTTTTTTAGATTTTTATTTCTTAAAACAAACTCAAAATGAGATGGGAAAATGAGATGGCAAAAGTCCTGGGGGGTGGGGGGAGCTAGGGTTGGGCTGGAAGGATGAGCAGGGGTTTGGAGTGCGGAGGGGCAGGGCAGGGGTGATGGGCTGCCAGTGAAGGCTTGTGGGGGGTGGGTGGGGATGGGGGCTAGAGACTCAGCAGGGACCAGGGGTCACCAGGGAGGGCAGGGGTTGAGATGGAAGTGTGGGCGGTTTGTGGGAGGTGCTGGTCGGGCTTTGTGAGGAAATGGCAGGGTTGGGACGACGTGTGACGGTGCCGCATGGGGTGATGACGACGTTGAGCATGGGGTGAACGTGAGCTGAATGACCACAGGTGATGATGATGATGGCTCAGAGCAAGGTAAGCACGGCAGGTTGTACCTAAGAAAGCTAAGAATCTAGATTTCTATCTAAATAATTGAAGAAGCAAAATATTCCCAACTAGTCCACAAGGGCTGTGTAGCTGCCCAGCCCTGGACAGACCTGCGAGACTACACACAACTCTATCCTATTTCCTTCTATTTCTGCAAAAAAGATAGATGCTCTCTCTTTTCTAAAAAAATAAGGCAAAAAAAAAAAAAAGTCAAATCCATAATTCAGAAGCTGGCTAGGTCTTTGGGGATGTGAGGATCATTACCTCAGCAACACAAACACACATCCATGGCTGTGTGGCCGGGTCTCACACCACTCCCACCACGGAACAAGATGCCCCGCGAGTGGCCATTTCCACGGAGCCCCGGGAAAGCCTCGCCAAGGGCACTGTTGCTGCCCAGACTTTGCCAGGGGCACTTGCGGTTCAAGCTGCATTGACTTTCTCAACTCTAATCTACGGGAGGGGCAGGGGCTGGGGGGGTGTGGCCTCAGTGTCAGGTGGTAATTCACAGGGGCCAATCTTTCCCAGGTGGAGGGTGGCCAGGGGGCTCCCCACTTTGGGAAATACAGTCAGGGTCAATCCCAAAGATCAAGTGTGCATCCAGGATAGGCCAAAACCTCTCGGATCCCAGGATGAGAGTCTCATCGGATCCCAGTGTCGGGGTCAGAAAGCAGCTTTTGGTACATGTCCCACCCCCCTCCCCATTCCTAATTCAAAGTCTGAGGGCTACAGACCTCTGCTGAGGAGGCTGGGGTGGCGGTGGTGGCCTCAGCCCCTCCCTCGAGACGGGCAGAAAGGCGGGCCTGGGGCTGGGAGGGGACTCACCAGGGGTCATGAGGCAGGGCTGGGAGGGGATGCTGCCCACCTGCCCGCCCGGGGGGGGGGCACTCTGCTGGACACACAGCCGCTGCACTTCTCAGAAATCTCAAATCAATGGAAAGATCTAGGGTTGCAGTGTCAGGCGGGGTATGAGTGCGAGTTGAAGGTGGTGTGTGAGAATTAACGAACAGAAGAGTCTGTAAGCCCTTTTCACAGTGAGTGGTCGCGCACAGCACTCGTGACGGTTTCACGAGAGCCCCGTGGCCACAGCCCCGTGGGGAGGGCGTGGGCACCGAGCCCCGGTTCTGTTGCCTTGTTTTTTTATGATTTTTTTGATATTTTGCTAAGTTTAGAGACTAGAATAACGTACTTATTTCTCTTAAGAGTTTAAAGATGAAATTCTTATTATTCTCGTAGGGTGGTGGGTGGGGGAGTCATGCATGAGGAGGGAGGATTCTCTTAGCAGGTGCGTTTGTCACACAGCCACACACAGACAATAAATGTAAGCGTAGCGTTCACCGGACTCCACACACAAGATGGCAAACTCCACCACGAGGATGAGGACCGACCGCATAGAGTGGGCTCCGCGGAACCCCGCGCACGGGAGGGGGCCCACAGGGACGCGGCCGCTCAGATCTCCTCCTCGCTGGCCTCCTTGCTGAAGGTGGCCATGTCGATCTTCTCCGGGATGATGATGTTGACCGCCAGGTCCTCGCCGCTGTTGTACTGCAGCAGCAGGTTCTTCTTCTTGCGCAGCATGTGGTGGCAGCGCAGATTGGACACCCAGGTCTCGCACTTGTTGAGGAAGATGATGCCCACGGTGCCCAGCACCACCAGGCTGGTGAGCACACCCAGGACAGTGAAGCAGATGGCCTGGCCCTCGGTGAGGAGAGGGGTACTCTTGTTGAGCTCTTTCATGGACACCTTGAGGGTGCGGTGCTCGGGCTGCGACACGGGCAGCTCCGGCACCCCGGGACTCAGGCGGTAGGTGAGCCCCTGGCCACTGGGCAGGCGGGTGACCTGCTGGGGGTTCGGCGCGCGCTTCTTGGCACAGGTGGGGCCCGTGAACTCGGCCTGGCAGAGACACTCGTAGCTCACCTGGGTGTGCTGCAGGCAGGTACCCCCATTCTGGCAGGGCTGGCTGGCACAGTTGGTCACTGGGCGGCTGCAGGTCTTGTCGACGAAGCCAGCCGGGCAGCGGCAGCGGAAGTCGCCCCCGATGTCGGTGCACACACCGTCGTTCTCGCACGGGTTGGGGGTGCAGCTGTTGGCCACAATCTCGCAGAAGTTGCCTGAGAAGCCAGGAGGGCACAGGCAGGAGGCATGGGAGGCCCGGCCCTCGTCGTCCACACAGGTGCCGCCGTGCTGGCAGGGGGAACTGCAACACAATGGGTACGCGGTCAAGGGCCCTCAGAGGCTGTGACAGGGCTGCTGGGGGTGGGCAGGAAAAGGGTTTGAGGTCAGGCAGGGAAGGAGGCACCCAGAGGTGTGGACACCTTGTCTGCAGGGTCTCACCGGCTGTTGGAGGGTAAGGTGCTCATCTCACCCCCACCTCCACCACGACACCCACCTTCTCTCCCACCTCTCACCTCACTGGACAGGTGGGGACACTGGGTCACAACAGCCAGGTCTAGAGCAAGCGCCATCCCCCCTCACTCTTATTTTGAGCCCACAGGCTACTGTGGGGGGCACTTGTGGTCTGCTGAGAGCCGAGGGACACACCGTGTGTCTAGGGGGCGGCAGGGCGGGGCAAGTCCTTTGTTTTCTGGTAAATGACAACTCCAGGGAGGAAAGGGGCTGCCACTGGGTGGGGGGCTCTACAGTGACAGAGTAGAGAGGGAGAAGGGAGGCACGGTGAATGTCTCCCCTTTGGCTAAGCCACACTGCAGCCCAGGCACCGCCCTCCCCCACAGCCCTGCACCATCACCACCTTCATCGGGAAGACAGCGGGTTTTGTCTCCCAGGTCCGGGGGGCTCCTGGGGACCCCTGGATGAGGACCTTGCCTGCACAGTCTCAGGTGCAGCCAAGGGTGAGAGCCAACTGCTGCCAGGAGGAGGGGACAAGGCAGCGCCCTCACATTCAGCCCACGGCTCCCTCCCCAGACTTCCTAGAAAAAATCAATTGCAGAGCCCACCAGGCGGGCAGGAGGGTCCCTGAAAAGATGGGAGGAGAGCCTGACAGACCAGCTCAGCCTCACTGAGTCCCGATGCCTGTCCCAATTGCCTTCCAAAAGGAGCCCCAAAAGAATTATGGAAAGGGCACATTCTCCCCAGGAATCCCTGGACCGGGGCAGCCCCCTGAGGGGCTGCAAAGAAGGTGGAGGAGCACTTACTTCTCTTTTGTCAGGCCACTCGTCCTGCGGGGTCAGGTGGAAAGAGTTTTGGGTAGGGGTGGGGGCAATGAGGGGCAGGAGGGAGAGTCTGGGGTTCCAGAGCTATTTACCCGTTGACCACGCAGGGTCCAGCCTTCTGCTGGCAGTCCTGGCCCGAGTAGCCGGGGATGCAGGAACACTCGTACCGGCCGTCATCCAGGTTCACGCAGGTGCCGTTGTTGGCGCAGGGGCCAGAGGTGCAGGCCCGGACATCTGAGGGCAGAGAGCAGTGGACCTCAGCTCTCCATTGGGGACACAAAGAACTGCAGTTTGTAGGAAGGCAGCCTCCCCCAACCCACCCCAACCCTTGAAGTGAGCAAGCGAGAGTTCAGGAAACTGAATGGGTGTCTTGGAGTAGCCTCACCCACCCCAAGACTTGGACACTCCAGCTTTGGGGAGTGGGTCCCTGTGCCACCTATTCTATAGACTGTCCATTTGAGACCCCTGCTGGGTCCCAGCTTTAAAAAAAAAAAAAAAAGAAAGGCCCACCCCTTGAGGAGATAGCACAAGGCAAGGCAGGATTGGGGGTTCTCTGGGACCCCGGCTTCCTGGCTGAGACCCTGGCGTTCGAACCCCCTGCTGCCAAGCTTGGTTCCTCAGTTTCCCTCCCAGGCTGATCTCTGAGGAGGGGCTTCTGCTGGAGTGGGGCCAGCTGCCCAGGTTTAATTAGAAAGCCAGGCAGGCCGGGGGAGGGAGAGGGGCTGCAAGATGTGCACGCGCCCCTCCCGTGTCGCGGAGACCCAGGTCCGCGTGCACAGGGAGCGCAGCCAGCAACATGGAGATGCCGCCTCTGCTCGGTCCCAGGGACAGCGCCAGCCAGCAGCACACCAGCTCGGCGGTCAGCCTCCTTCTGCAGCCTGCAGCCAGCCTCCCTCCGCAGCCGGCTCCTAATTCTGCCGCCCGCTGGGAATCTCAAGTGCAAGGTGGTCCCCAGCCACCCAGCTCTGCTCCCCGCAAGCCCAACTGAGCGCCTGGGACAAGCCAACTGGCCTGGTGGCAAGGGAAGGGGTCCAGCCAGGGCTCCGGGCGGGGAGCTTTGTCTAGCAGGAAGGAGGGAGAGGAGAGGGTGCTGCTTGTAGATCCCAAAGGGGCTGGGTTCAGGCTAGGATCCTAAATGGGGGCTTCCCTGTGTGCCCCCGATGCTCAGAGCTGCTGCTACTACTGCAAGGGGCAGCAAAGCTGCAGCCAGAGCGTGAGGCAGCTGCGGGCAAGCCTGGCAGCATAGGGAGCTTCAGGGGCAGGTTTGGTCTTCAGTTTCTCTATCTACACCCTGTGTCCGCATGCTAATGCTGGGGAGGTGGTGGGCAGCAGCCCTGCTGGGCGTGTGCTCGAGGACTGGAGTTGGCCTGGACTTGAGGGCAGAGCTTTGACCAGCCAACTGCCAGCTCTCTCTCTCGGGGTAATGGAGGACAGAGAGGGCAGAAATTGATGAAATCCACAGATAAACCCAATCTGCTTCTTCACCCCTTGGCGGCTCCCCTCCAATTCCCTGGCACCTGCCCCCACTCCCTCCCGCTGCTCCTGGCTCCCCCATTGTCCCCCTCCCCCGTCTGCAAGTTCCGTTTTTCCCGCAGCACTGCATGCAGCAATGTGCGAGATTTTCTCAGCTGACACCCCCTCCACCCCCACTCTGGGTCCTTGGCCCTGTGTGTACGCAGGCAGTGACCTAGCCAGCCGGTGTGTAGGGGGGGGAGCTGGGGGTCTCGGCCAGGTGGACACAGCATAACTCTTTATTCAACAGGCAGCTCCCTGCTCCCCACCCCTACGCCATTCCAGCACCTTCCATGGCTTCTTGGTTGCTGACAGTGTGCGAGTGAGCAGAGGAGGGCGGCAGGAACCCATTGCAGGGCGCTGGTTGGACTGGGAGTGGGCACCAAGGAGGGGGCTGGAGCGGGCTAGGGGCAGGCAGCAGGGAGCGCCCACCTGTGTCGCACAGCTTTCCGTCCCAGCCCTCCTGGCAGAGGCACTGCCAGGGCTCCTCACAGAATCCGTTCACGCATCCGGGAGAGGTCACGCACTGGTCACACAGGGGGCCTTGCCAGCCAGGCTGGCACCTGTGATAGAATGAGACGTGTAAGCGGGGTGGGGGGAGGAGGCACTCAGGCCACCTCAGGTGGAACCCAGAGCGCTGGGAAATAGTGGCGCGGGGGTCAGAGAGCTGCGCTGCGGGGTGGGGGAGCAAGGCATGTTGTCGCATGTTGTCGCAGCACCCTGCAGTGGTCTCAGCCGATGGCACCCCCGTCTGAGAAAGGAGACAGGATCCCTGGGCACCCCCCAGCCGGCCCCTGCCTGAGTCTCCCCAGTGGAGGCTCTGCAGGGGGGCGGGGGGGGGCTCTCTGCCGCAGCCCCCGCCCCCACCCAGCTCTGAGGCTCCCGGGCTGCTCCCCCTCCACCCTCCTGCCTCCGCAGCTGCATACCTGCAGATGTGATCCTCGCAGACTCCATTTAGGGGGTCACAGGCCGGGAAGCATTCAGCCCCTAAGGCACAGGGAACATGGTACAAATTCACCCCGCCATCTCCTCCCAAGCTAGGGCGAAGCCCCCTCCCCACAGCTGGCTGGCTGCCTAGTCCGCTGGGAGAAAGCTCTGTGGGCTGCTGGGCCCCTAGGGGACAAGACACACACCCGGTCCCCCGGAAAGCAAGGAACCCCAACGCTCTGGGTAGGAAACCTGGACTGCCTGTGGAGAAGGCGCTGACCCCATCACACTTTGCAAGCTGAGCTCCCAGGGAGGTCCGGGACAGGCCTAGCAGCTTCCCCTGGCAGCTTCACAGCTGCTTGTCTGGAGCTGAGCTTCCCCCCCCCCCTCTTTTTTGCCAGGTTACTCGCAGTTAAGTCAAGCACCCAGGTCTGGGTTCCCTCATGTCTCCCACCACCACCACCCTGCCCCTGACACCTCACATTAAGACAACTGCACAGTTAAGCAGGGCGGGCTGAGATTCCGACACTACTCTGAGGCCTGACTAGGCGCCTATTGCGTGCACCTCCTCAAGCAGTGGTCCAGAGGCCCCACGGCCCCCTGAGCAGTGGGGCAGGGGCACCGCCAAAGACAGATGGCCACTGCAGACGGCAGCGTCGCAGCTCTGACCTAGGAAAACCCGCCACCCAGAAGGGGCTTCCCCACTCCCCTCGTGGGTATAGGGATCTAGAATAGCCAAGTCAACCTCCACTGCCTCCCAGACTCCTGGTGCCCTATACTCATTCTCAGGGGCGCCCCGAGGTACCCATCCTAAGCGCAAGATCCCAGAAGACCCCCGCCCTCTGCCCAAAGCCGCCCTTTTCCCGTGCCTCCTCACAGTGCACCCACGCCCCCCCCCCCATACGCCACTTCGGCCAGGTGGGAAGGGAAAGGGCTTCGGGGGTCCCACACCCACCACCCTCTTCTCCCCAACGGAATTCCAAGGGCGGGCTTAGCATGCAAGGGCGGCGGGGAGGACCAGACAGGTAGAGCGCGGGGCTTAGGGTTAGGCGTGAGAAGCTGGAGTCCGGGCGCGTGGAACGGGGCGCGCGGGGCACGGGGCGGTCGGCGGCGGGTCGCAGGCTTCCCCAGAGGGGGCGCGAGCCAGGTCGCCGAGGGTCTCACCAGAAGAGCTGTGGCCGAAAGCCAGCAGGAGCAACAGGACGGGCAGGAGGGCTCCGGTCGCGGTCATCGCGGGGCGGTCGGGGGCGCGGTCCAGGGAGAGGTGCAGGCGCAGATCCGGCTCCGGGCGCCGCGCTGGGCTTCTGGTTGCGGACACTGAAGGGGGCGCGGGCGTGCGGCGAGGGGAAAGCCAGGGCTGCACCGGGCTGCGCGCTGCGCTCTCAGCCACCGCTGCCAGGAGCTGCTGCCGCCGCGGCGCGCGCGGCCCTTTTCGTACCGCGCCTCCCCGCCCCCCGCCCCGCCCCCGCCCGCGCGCGGGGCCGCCACCCGCCCGCCCGGTGACCCCCGCCCCCCACGGCCGGGCCCGGCGCCCAGCACGCACGCGGCTGAGCTGGCCGGACGAGCAGGTACCCCGCGCACGTCCTGCACACGGACCGCGCACACACGCACACTCATACACACTCTCACACACACGCACGCACGCACGCACCGGCCGGCTTAGGACAAGTAGCTAGAGCCGGCTCGGAGTCCGGGCCGCAGACCCTCAGCACAAAGCGAGTACATACTCCAGGGTGCTGATCACCGAGGCCCCGGGCACAGGACGCCCCCCATGCCGGGTCACAGGCCCAGCAAGGCGCAAATGCGCACCACCAAGATGTGGGAGACGCAGAGGAGCACGCCGCACTCAGAAAAACGGCGAGCAGCTGCCGCACGACCCCGGGGTCCCCGGCACGAGGGTGAGGGAGGGGTGGGCACACTTGCAGGTACACGCGCGTGCAAGCCAAACACACTGCAGCCTACTTGAACACGTGTGAACACACACGTTCACACGCAGGCCTCAGCGACGGCACCCCACACGCTTCCTCCAGGGGAGCTCGAGCTGCTGGTGGCTGGCAGCTGGCAGCTATGAAACCCTGGGTCCCCTCTTCGCGCGGAAGCACGCACAGAGCCGCACACACACCTCCGTCCACAAGCGCACAGTCCTGCTCGGGACCCGAGCGCGCAGCCAGTCAACCTGCACCCAGCCCACACGCGTGCCGCCGGGAGCCCGAGGTTCGCCCGCACTCTCCAGACTTGTTCGGCACACGCTCGGGGTCTCACACGCCCGCTCCCGCTGTCACTTCAAGCTTTGCCGCGACAAGTGCGGGCAACCTCGTACACAAACTTATGGACAGTCGCTCACTCGGCGCTTCTTCCCAGTAGATCCCAGATCCCCCGCGATGCCTCTGCCAGAAAACTTCGGGTCCAGGGAGCCCGTTCGGCCAAGTGCTCCCCACACCACCCACACACAGTCCGCAGCCCCCAATCCCTGCTTCCAGGCCGCTGGAGCTCCAGCCTTCTCCCTTTCACCTCGTAGGGACCTAGGGACGGGAATATAGGGAGATAGGGAAGGAGAGCGACTGGGAGGGGGCTGCGGGTCTGTAGCCTGCGGCTCGGCATTTGATGTGGATGGGCCAGCTAGGGCGCACAGCTTAGTCTGAACAGGAATCTTCGTACTCAGAGCGGGTTCGTCCCCGGCTCACAGCCCCTTCTCCACGGCGCTGGGTGAGGAGCGCATTGCTGCTGCAGCGAACACTGGAAGGCTGGGTGTGCTTTGTCACCTAAGGGGCCCTGGCCAGTCTAGGGACAGAGGGATGTGGCTGGTCCAGGGACAGCCGTGGGAAGGCCAGACTGTGTTCTAGGTGGGGCAGCGGGGTTCAGCAGCTGAGGCTGAGCCCGTGGCTGCGGCAGAGCCCGGATCTGCTCAGGCCTGATTCTACTGTGCCACCCTCCACCCGCGGAAGATGTCTGCTCCTTCAGCTTCTGCAAATGACCACAGTTGAGTTCGGGCAGGCTGGGAGTCCCCTCAGCACCCCTGAACTTCTTTGCCTCTGCCTCCTCCCCCGCCCCCCCGCCGCAGGGACGGTTTTCTCAGATCCAGAACCTGAGTTCAGTATTGACAGTCTCTGGCCCGGGCTGGAAGGGTAGCGGCGGGCAGGCTCAGGGCTGAAGCAGGCTCAGGGCTGAAGCCACTGTCCACTGCAACCGAACACAGAGGTCTCCCTGCTCCCCCCTCCCTCTGGAGGCCCCTGACCTCAGCCTCCAAAATTATCCGGCAGTAGGCAGTGGAGGTGGGGGTTGGGGTCTCAGCCAAGAACCAGGAGAGGGCTCCTGAGGCTCCTGCCAGTCATCTGGGGGCGGGGGGGGGGCAGGCGGCACAGGGACAGGCGAGTCCCTTCTCCAAGAGTCCTCCCCACCCGTTTCTGGAAGGGGGGCGATGAGGCAGGGAGGGGGTCATGTCCAAATGTCACGGGCTTGGAGCAAGCGCCTGTGCCCAGGGCTGACAGCACCTGCTACCTAATCCATCTCCACCCTGTTGGAGCTTCCCGAACTAGAAACAGGGATGGCACACCTGTCCCCAGAGGGACCCTGGGAGTCTCCAAGCAGAAGAGTGTTGTGTTACAAGGCTTGGCCCTGGCGCCTCTCGCCCCCACCCCCCAACAGCTGCAGCCCCAGCCAGCTGGGGGGCGTCACAGACCAGGGCCTGCTGACCGCACTCTCAGAGCCCCCTGCAAGGCTGCTGCGGGAGTGAGGTGGGAGGGGGGCTTGCGGGATCTGTGAGTGGAGAGCCAGGCGGGAGACACGGGCCGGTTTACACTGGTCTCAATAAAGCATTTGTAAATTCAGGCGGCTGGGATTTCTGCAGAGCAGACGCCACTGCCGCGGTGAGAAAGGGTAGCTTGGAAGCGACTGGGGGGGGGGGGGGATCGTGACTGTCCAGGCTCAAGGCTGTACAAGCAGCGAGGAAATGCCAGGCTACTCCCTCAGGGAGAAGCTGGCCCGGCTGCTATGTGCAAGCGGGCCCTGGGGCCTAGGAGCAGGGACTGGAGGAGCCAGCCTGCACCCCCTCCCCAGCTCAGCTTCTCCCTCTCCTCCCCCTTCCCTGCTCTCCCTGGAGCGCCAGCAGCGGAGGGGAGACCCTCCTGGGAAGCCAGCAGTCCTAGATGTGGGAGGTGGGGTTCACAGGTAGCCAGGGCTGTGGTGGAGTACAGCAGAGCCCGGCCCCAGCCGAGGGGGCAGAGTGCAGTGTAGGGTGCAGAGAAGGGGCAACCCCAACCCCTCCTCTCCAAACACCAAGCTCACTCCCAGCCAGCGGAGGGAGACTACCAGCCCTAGAATTTAGACAGGGTCCAGCCAGAGGGCCTGGGCGTGCCAGCAGTGGGGGTGGGGCTGTGCTGGGGGCTCACCCCACCCCCACCTGGACACCCTGCTCTGCCTTGAGGCTTTGTTCTTGCCCGTGCGCCCACTGACCATGTCCCAGTAGCACAGAAAATGATACTCTGGCCTCCACCCACACAATGCCCACCCCTTCAGCACTGTGAGGACTAGGGACTCGGGTCAAGGCCAACAGATACTGGCCGGGAGCCTCTCCCCACCTCGCCTCCTCCGGGAGCCTCAGAGCAGGACCCAGCGGCATGCGGAGACTCCAAGAGGCACACAGCCCACAGGCAGCAGGTCTGGGATCCAAGGGCCCAGTTCTTTGTCGGACCCCAGGGAGTAGAAGATGGACAGGGCTGAGAGGTGTGGGGCCCCCCAGCCGGGACACCCTCAGGGCGCTGCTGGCTTTTCTTTGGGATCGTGGAAGGAGGGGGCTTGTCAGAACCCATGCAGCTTCTAGCAGCCACAGGAAAGAGAGAGACAAAGACAGAGAGCTACAGCTGTGGCCCTTGGGCTCATGGCCCCAGCTCGGAGGTTCCTCTTGGGAAAGAGAGATTTGTTCTGCTCACGGGGTTCCGGGAGGCAGAAGACAGCTCGGGAACACAGGTTCAGCTTCAAGCTCAACCAGAGAAAAGCCTCTTCAGGCTCAAGTGTGCTGCACGCAGCAGAGAGGACGCTGCCGTGCCCCGCCCCGTGCCCCGGCCTCATGAGACACGTGACTGTCCCGGACCCACTCCAGGCTCTCCTGGGCCACAGGGACGGGTAGAAAGGGGAGCCCCCAAGAGCCCCCAAGAGCCCCCAAGGCAGGCCTGTTGCCACTGTCGTAGCACACACTCCTGGCCGACAGACAAGATCAGAAACCGCCCCCCCAGTGTCACGAGTTTGGGTCCCTACGCGGTATGGGCGCCTCGGGGGTCCCAGCCCTCCCTCAGACTCATTTTCTCGCCATCGACATTCACATTAAAAATAGACTTTGCGTCTTCTTCTTGCCGAGGAGGCCCATGAACGTGAGGTCTGTGAATCTGATTGTCCATGTCATCAATCAAATTCTCCCGTTAAAGGCCCTTCAACTGAGTCACGCTGTGCACGCGGCAGGGCGGGGGGCGGGGGGAGAGACTGACAAGGACCCCCACACCCCATACCCGGAGAGGGGAAAATCGGGGAGCTGAGGAGAAGGAGTCTTTTCATCTCTCAGTCTGTCCAAAGCAGGCTTTGGCAAAAAGTACAGTAATTCTTCATTCATCAGAAATTCCCAGAAGTTAATTTTCCATAAGACAGGCGCTCACCTCTTTAAATGCAGTCTTTCATCTCCCCAGCCCCCCCACACTCCCAGGGCTGTGTAAGGGGCTCCCCAAGGGGTCCTGGGGTGCATCTCAGCCCAGCCCCGCTCCTTGAAGACGTGAGGCAGCAGCCCTCCGAGATGGGAGAACAGGGGTCATAATGTGAGTGTGTGTACACACGTGTGCACTGAGGCAGGGTTAGGTGAGCAAGGCTGAGGCTGGAGAACATTGCAACGGCCTGCAGCCCCGTGCTCTTCTGAACTGTTCCGGAACATCCTGCAGCCTCCCTGCCTTGGCAAACAAGAACCCGTGGGACAAGAATACCCCCCTTTTTCCTTATAGCAGAGCCACCTAAGCAAGGAGTCATGCCCAGACCTGACGCTGAGTCACACACTCAGCACTGCCACCCACACGGCCCCCACCCTCCCAACCCCTGCGTGAACAAGTGGCCCTAGCCCCTGCGAGGGACTAAGCACCATTTAGGGGTGCCTATGTCTGTGAGAGAAGCACGTGCCGAGGCCTGACTTCTTCGGCTCCAGGAATTTCGTAGTCTGTGTCTGATTTATGGGGAAGCAAGAACGTTCTCGCTCAATGAGACTGGTGTGTGCTTCCGTGTGCTCACTACTGCGTGGCATGCCGGCGTCAGAGGTGACCTGCCCAGATCTCGGGGTGCCAGCCGCACAGCCCAGCTCTTCCACCCCTGCTGTCTCCAGCCTGCTCATGCTTGGCGCCAACATGCGCCCCCGCCTGGTCCCGGGA